AAAAAACAAAAAAACAGATGCTGGTGAGGTTGTGGAGAGAAAGGAACGCTTTTACACTGTTGGTGGAGTGTAAATTAGTTCAGCCATTGTGGAAGACAGCGTTATGATTCCTCAAAGACCTAAAGACAGAAATACGATTCGACCCAGCAATCCCATTACTGAGTATATACCCAAAGGAATCTAAATCATTCTGTTATAAAGACACATTTATGTGAATATTCATTGCAGCACTATTCACAACAGCAAAGACATGGAACCAACCTAAATGCTCATCAATGGTAGACTGGATAAAGAAAATGTGGTACTTATACACCATGGAATACTATGCAGCCATGAAAAACAAGATCATGTCCATTGCAGGGACATAGATGGAGCTGGAGGCCATTATCTTTAGCAAACTAATGTAGGAATAGGAAATCAAATACTCCATGTTCTCACTTGTAAGTGGGAGCTAAATTATGAGAACACATGGACACATAGAGGGGAACATATAAGTTATCTTATATGTGGTACCTTTTAATTTACATTTTTGTGATGAACTTTTAAGATAAATTATGCTGTGATCAAAGAACATGGGTCTGTGTGACACCTCTTCTTTGAAATCTTTGGAGGTTGCCTGACACATGATTTTTATAAATATTCCACATGCACTTCAGAAGAATATTCTTCCACCTAATGGTTGCGTGTGGAATTCTGTTTTTCAATTGGGCCAAGATTACTAATTACGATGTTCAAATCCTTTACATCTTTTCTTGTTTGCATTTTTATTTTATTTGCTTGGCCTATCAATAGCAAGATGGGGAGTTGAAATTGTCTGCTCTTAGTAAGTTTACTTTTTTCTCTGATTTTGTAAATTTTTGCTTTATACAGTTTGAGGCTATTTTATTAGTTTTACAGATGTTTAAAATTATTATAATTGCCTATTTATTCTTTTCACACCTCATGGTAAAATAGAGTATGACTATGTATGTAGATAAGAATAAAAATTGTCTATCTATATGTGTATTGTGTATCTATATGCATATGAAAAAATATATCTCCACACATCCATTTGTAGTCAAATGTTTATCAGAGCTAAAGGCTGATTTCATGCCTCCTAATAATTACTGTCATTTGTGGTACACCTGTGACATACGAAACACCCAGAAGCCACACCAAATCTGGATGACTGCATGTGAAGAAGCTGGCTGAGGGACATTCGGCTTCTCCCACTGAAAAATCACAGCAGGAAGTGATGGAAATCGGTTTCTACCTTTGCTCTTGCTGACTTCAAAGCATTTCACTAAAATATCATTTTTTAAAATTAAATAGAAAGGCAATATTTTACATTAGACTGTCCTTTACTACCTACATGCAAAATAGTACTATTTAACAAAAAGAAAAAGAAAAAGTACGTTGAAAAGAAAGAAAATACGGATAAGCTGTTACTGCATGGAAAAACATCTAAGAAACAAAGGAGTTGTCACATAAGAAATAAAAGTGATGGGTATTTAATAGGCCTAGCAATTAGAATCCATCTGAAATTACCAGAAAATGCATGGAAAATGAAGGAATAAAATGCTTAGAGTGGAAGGAATCCATTGTCATCACAGTGGATGATACCATAGTTAAACTATCGTGCTTTAAAGGCATTTTTGTACATTTCATTTAGTATGCATTATATGGTAAATTTTATTTTACCTTGTTAAAGCCATTTTTAAAAAGGCATTTTAGTACATTTTAGGTAATATTGAAAGGATTTTAGTACATTTTATTTAGTTTGCATTATATGGTATTTTTTTTCCACAAAGGGAGGAGGGGTTAGGATACATAGGAATATTTAATTGAGATTGATGATGGTTTTAATGTTTTAGTTTGCTTATTTTAAAGTAGTCTGTTTTATATTCTAATATTTGCAAACAACTCAATCAGAAGAACACAGCCTCGGGGTGTACCGTGCTGACTTCCTTCCTTTCTCCATCTGCTGGGAGATGGACAGGAGAGAGGGGGAGCTGTCATTCTAGGTCTGAGGGTGTCTCTTTATTCCATTGACTTAGCCTTAAGAAAAAAGCATGATGCGAGGCCAGGGAACACTGTGGCCTGTAAGCTCGTACATCCTCTAGTGAATACTCATCTGTTCTTCCCATGACATCCTCATGCAAGGTTCTTAAAACTTCAGAGTTAGCATTCAAAAGGCAGATACAGAATAAACTGGTGGCTGTTCTCTTCCTTGAAGAGTCTCTGGTTTTCAGTGGGCCCAGGTTTTGCAAAGGTTAGGGTCACAGGCCTCACAAGCAGCAGCTGACCGTCTCAAGCCATTGGCCATCTGAGCCTTTGGCTCACCCTTTGAGGTGGGGGTGTATGGTCTGAGGCTGACGCTCCTCCTCTGCTGTGCAGAACCCACCTGCTAACGTCACCCACCTGGTGAGGGCAGGCACACCACCAGCCACCGAGGATCATGACCTGGATTAGGACTTCAGAGGTCGAAGTCCTCCTTATAGTTTGCAACTGCATTGTCATAAAGATGTGTGTAATCTTTCCCCCTAAGAGTTTGTGCTTTTTTGGCTGCTCTCATTTTGAAAGAAATTTAAACATTTTTGCAGGACTCTAAGAGGGTTGTAGGACCCAGACGCTGTGCTCACTGTGACTAATGGTGGAGAAGTCAACTGCAGCCCCGACAAATCACATCTCAGGGATCTGATTTTTAAAAAAGAGAGAGAAAAAATAGAGAGTTTACAATTTAGAACCAAAATCAAAATCAAGTCTTACATACTTTACCCAGAAAAATAAGACATTGGGTCTCTGTCTTCTTGACAGAGAGATCCTTTAAAAGAGAGGCACGGGCAAGCTCTTACAGGTCGTTCCGTTTCTCCTCTGCTTCCTGGAAGGGCTGTATCACCGTCTTCTTGTTGCCTGCTTTCCTAATTTTCACTTTACAGTCATGCATATTTTTGCCCTGTTTTTCAGTCTTTCTGGAGAACTAAGAGCCAGTAAAGTCAGTGATTGTTTCACCCCTGCTGGGGTAATGAAATGACTGGGAAAAAAAAAAAAGTCATACTGGGAAATAGGTTTCCTGATTATTTACTGGTTAGTTTTCTGTCCACAGCTCAGTGAGGTTCATTTGGGGAGGTTTAAATTAAATCAGTTTTCATGGCTCCATGTGTGTAGTGATCGTAATCTCAGATTTGATGTCCTCAGATGACACGCTGTCATGTCCCACATGTCCATTTGTTCGTGGTGTCTGAGTGCTGGGGAGTGCTCGCAGCCTGACAGATACCTAATACCCTTTTGCAGTAATTGTAAGCTGTGTCTGAGGGTAAGAGTAATAACTTAGGCACTTAATCATGGATAAAAATAGCAGTGGAGGGAGAGAATAAGAACATCTCATTTGATCTACTTGTTTTCTGCCAATTCTGGAAATACACGTTCTTTTGGCCACAGCAACAACTGGTCCCATTCGGTTGAGCTCGCTGTCTGCTGCAGGACCACAGACCCATAGGTGATCCCTGGGCTGGAGGCCTATCTCACCCACCAGCTGGACAATGCATGGCAGCCCTTCTCCATGCCTCAGTCTCCTCAACTGTAGAATGGAACTAACACTAGTGCCCTCCACCCTGCCTGCCCCCACCAGGATGGTGGTTGTAAAGATTAAAGAGGTTAATATATGTAAGCCTGCTTAGCACAAGTAGCACTTACTAGCATTTACCATTCTTGTTGTTCCTCTTGCCTCTTTCCCAGGCATCATTTATCACACATAATTGTGGGAGAGAAAGGGAAACGACATCAGTTAAGGGGGCTTGGATGCTGGCTTTTCCCCTCCTTGGGAACCAGGACTCTGTGTGGATTTTTGGCTGGTCTGCTGTGTTTCCCCATCTCCCCGTGCTTCATTGCCTGGTATTTGCATGGAGCCATTTCCAGTGTGAAGTTAGAGCTACCAGTGGGTGGAATGAACCTTGTGCCCACCTGTAAAGAATAGAGATCACCAGACGGACAGTCCCTTTGTAAGTCCCAGATATGGTCCCAGCTTTGTGGGTTTTTTTTTTTTTTAAATAGAAGTGTCTATGGATATTTCCATAACTAAACACGTTTGGGTGAGGATTAAAGACTTTATACTGTTTTCTGATCCATAGTAAACGCTGTCCATACCAAGCTTCCAGCATAGTGTTTTGCAGAAGCTACAGCCTAAGCCCAGGCTTGTGTAATCAAATGAAACATAATGTCTGTATGTGGAGCTGAACTTGTGTAGAATGGAAATAGTGGGTCTTTGTCATGTGGTAAGGAAGAGATAAATAGAAAAAAAAAAAAACTGTGTGCCAAAATAAATGTAAATAAATGCATTAGTAAGAAGTGAATAATAAATGCCCATTTTCTTTTTGCTTGTTTGTTTCTTTTTGCCATGTTTGTTATTTTATTTTCTCCACCTCTCTTGAGAGAGACATCACAAACATGGCGCTCTCCTCTATGCATTTCTTGCTCCCTCACTTTCCACATTCAGCACTTTCTGACCCTTTTCTATTAACCTATGATCCTGTCAAAACATTAATTGCCATGCATTAAAATAAAAGCTCATCACTTTAAAGACTGAGATAATTAAAAAAAAAGTTTTTAAAATAAAACGTTTAAAATCCATTTGGAAGCTAGTTTTCTAAGGCCAAGGTATTTCTGCTCCTTTGATTTAGGGAGGGAAGTTGGTTGTCTTATTTTCTCCGGGCATTAATGTGTTCTTACATTCACTTCTGAATACAATCCAGTTCTGCGTTGATCAGGGAAGATGTAACTTTGATGAGATATTGTTTTTCCTATTTTAAATATCCAACATTGGATTATCTATTTAGAAAAACATGTTTATTTATTATGAAAGTTGAATTTTAAATGTTCAAACTGTTCTACTTTCAAAACAATTTCTTAAACCCAGTATTTTCTGACATTGACAAGTGTTGATAACATTTTAACAACATAAATCATTGGTATCACAGTGTCTCTAAATGGTAACTTTTCCATGTATTTTTTTCTCTCCTCAGGAAGTTGAAGACCATGTGGCATTTCTAATAACAGTTCCGACCGCCCTGGCGATTTTCTTTGCGATCTTTATCCTGGTCTGCATAGAGTCTGTGTTTAAGAAGCTGCTGCGCCTCTTCTCGTTGGTGATATGGATATGCCTTGTTGCCATGGGATACCTGTTCATGTGTTTTGGAGGTACTGTCTCTCCCTGGGACCAGGTAAGGTGTGAAAATATTTTTTGTACTTCTTTTATGTTTTGGTTTGTGACATACTTAGTTCTGTAAACAACTTGGCCTTAAACTATAAAGAGGAGTTCTATAACTGAGAATGGAGTCTAATTTTTAAATTTATATTTCTACAATTTATTTTTAATCGACAAATTATAATTGTATGTATTATGGGGTACAATGTATATGTATTTATATCTGTATGTGTGTATGTATAGATGTATATGTGTATATATGTGTGTGTGTATAATTGGACACATATATGTTTAATATAAGATTAAATGAAACTAATTATATGCAACATGTCACATATTTTTTTTTGGTGAGAAGCTTTAAAATCTACTCTTTAAGCAATTTTGAAATATACAATACATTATTATTAACTATGGTCAGCATGTTATGCAATAGATCACTATATATTATTTCTCCTGTCTAACTGGAAATGAAATAAGCCAGGCACAGAGAACGAAGGCTTTTGAAATAGCTGTCTTTGACTCATGGTCAAAGTCACTCTGTCCCCATTTTAGCAAACCCATCGTGTCACAACGAAGGAGCTGGCCGGGGCCTCATACTGTCACTTGTTTGGGATAGCTGAACTTCAATTCTGTCCGTAGCCTTGTTTGACATCTCGAACCACAGTTTCGACAACTCAGTCCTTGTTTCCGGAGTGCCTTGTCTAGGCTTCCTATTTCTCCAGGTGCCTGCAACCCTCCAGGACTGGTCGTTGTCTTTAAATTCCTTCTCAATTACTAGAATTTTCCTACTTAAAGACCCTTCCTAATTCTGTGACACTGATTTTCCCTCCACATGGTCACAAGCTATTGAAAGGGTGGCTTCGGATACCTGCCAAAAAACCCACGTTCGTTCATTTTGCACCGGTTGAGGCTCTGGGCCTCACGTCGTATCCTGAGGGAAGTGTTGTCTAACTATTGGCTTTTTCCATAGTGCTGCTGCTATGTAGGTGGCTGCTCCCAGCGTATTCATCTGACAGCATGATAAATGGTGTATTGTCTAGGGGACAGGCCTAGGCTGAGATGTGAGCTACTAGCTTAGAGCTTGTCAACCAAGACATGGAGTTTTGAGGCCATCCAGGGAGAGGGTGACTGAGTAGCTGAGAGGGCTGCCACAGGTTTGGTGGGGACATTGAGAGCCAGGGGTGTGCCAGCAACAGGATCTGGAAAGGAATACAGGGGCCATGATGGGGAGAAGAGAGCCAGTGAGGGTACACTGCTGTAGAGGTGAAACAGGGAGGGTTTCCAGAGGGTGTGGACAGAATGGCTCAAATGCCATGTCAAGGGACAGAATACTGTTGGTGTACCTCAGTTGGAAAGAGCCCAAAGACGAGCTTGCCAGTGGGTTCTGTTGGTAAGTAGTCATCTGACCTCTGCCAAGCCATTCTTCTCTTTGTGCCTCCATTTCTTGTGCAAAGGGAGGAGGCTGGACTAAGTGAACTCAAGTTAGTCTTCCTGGCTCTAAGAGGACACTCATAGTGGACACAAGACCCGGCGGGAGCCATCATCTCTCCTTCATCACTCTCCCACTGGAGCCCCTTGGAGGGCTGGGCACAGGCCCCCATCCTCTGCTTGACTTCTTCCTCTCCCTCACACTTCCCGCTCTCTCCTTCGCCCTCTGTGCTACTGATGCCACTTACACTCTGTCCTTCCCCACTCAATTAGAAATCCTGGCTAATACCATTAGACAAAATACTACGTAACAGTGAGGTAAACATGCAAGGGAGAAAGAAAATTCTAATTATCTGCAAATGACCATACTGTCTATACAAATAAACTGGGAGTCACAGATCAACTAACAGAACTTATAAGAGAGCCCACCACGACTGCAGGATCAACATAAAAACAATAGTATTCTTGTGCATCAACACTGAACAATTATAAAAGGTAATTTTTTAAATTACCGTTTAAACATTTTCTCCCCCAGCAGCCTAGACATCCTGTTGCATGCATACTGGTGCCCAGGTAATGTAAATAGGAGAACAGTTAAGATCCTGCTGGTCTGTTGCCTGAATCTGATGGTCTCTCCTTGCACCAAAGCCATCTTGTTTTAATGTTACAGGTTTCTAAGAAGACTTACTATCTGGAAGGCCAAGTCCCTCTTCCTTGTTCAGAATGTTTTTAGCTCACTTTTTCTTACAAATCAGTTTGTCATGTTCAATGAAAAGTCCATTGGGTTCTGGATTTAAATTATCTTGAATTTCTAAATTTTTGTTATGAAAGATATTTAAAGCCTAAGAATTAATAAGAGGGTAGTATAGAAAACATCCAGAAATATGCTGTTTTTGTGTTTAGTCTTTTCATCAAATGGCATGGCGTGTCTCTCAAAGAATTCTGATTACTTTTTGTGTCCTCCAGAGACTCTATTTTCTTTATAAAATCAATAATAATTTTCCTTAGACTCAATCTTAGGTACCTAAAGTCTTTTTGCTGTTTTATAAACAGAATTTTAAAAATTACCTTTTCTAATTGGTCAGTGTTGATATATGAGAATACTGTTGTTTTTATGTTGACCTTACAGTGTCAGTGGGCTCTTCTGAGTTCTATGAGTTGATCTGAGACTCTCAATTTATTTGTATAGGTAGTGTGGTCATCTGCAGATGATTAGAATTTTCTTTCTCCCTTTCATATCCTCAATTTACCTTATTCTGCTGTAGTATTTTGTCTAATTATTTTAGCCTGGATTTCTAATGCAGTGTGGAAGGACAGGGTGTAAGTGGCATCAGATGTTTAACTTGATGGGAACATGGAAGATTCCAGTAATATAAGGTTTGCTTTATCATTGTTACTATTTTTAATAGAACCAATTAATCAGGATAAGGTCCTTTTGTCTGTGTTCTTGTCCACAAGTTGCATGTCCTTAGAACGATTTTCCTGACCCCCATCTGTCACTTCGTAAGGGAACATCACTCACCTGGCTTCAGTGTTTCCATGGCACTTAGGGTGACTTATAGAACCGTAAATTATAGGACACACCCCTCTCTTTGTTTATTGATTATCTGCTGCTGGAACATAAGCTTCTGGGCAGGGATGTGACTGTCTCTCCAGTGTCCCATCCTTGCCCTTAGCAGAATGCTGTCCAGCCATTGGCAGCCAGTAGCTACTCATTTGATTATGTTCATTGACAGATGACTGTATTTTCATCTTCAGGATTGTTGTTGTTATTGTTTGTATTTTAACCTGTTTTTATTGTTGTTGTTTTATAACATGTATTTTTTTTTTTGACACTATCTGCCTGCTTTTAAAGATCTCTCCAAGGATCATAAACATGCTTGTTTCATAGTCATTTTCTCAATACTGACTCCTCTCAGGTGTTAAATTTGTTGGCCAAATTTCTCGGTTTTAGCTGTCTCCGTGTACCTTGACATTTTTGCTTTTACATACATCTTGAATTGGAATATATTCACCTCTGCCCCTAATATAACCCTCACCATTCTGTGGTTGTCTTTCCCATGCCACTGGGGCCCTGGATCGTGAGTGTATATGAGGCTCAGCCCAGGTGTTCCATGTTAATTTTGCAAATTGGGAGGCCAGCTCAACCCGTGGCCTGGGGATGTTTCTGGGAGGTGCACAGCTGTGTCTGCTCAGTCCTCTCACCCAGGGCGTGATGCTCCGAAAAGGCCACAGCCAGGCTCAGTGGCTGCAGCTATTTTTGGCCACTATTCCTAAGCCAGGAGCAATGGCAGGGTGTGTGCCTCATGCAGTGGACCGGCTCACGCCCCTTGAAGAGACATTGAGTCCTGCCCCTCCTAGAGCTTGAAGTCCTGCCCAACACTTCTAGCTGCCCCTGTCCATTCTATGGCAATGGGGATTTAAAATGAAATTAAAAGCAAAAGTCTACCTTCTGGTTTCTTTTCTTTTGTTTTTTTTTGAGACCGAGTCTCATTCTGTTGCCCAGGCTGGAGTGCAGTGGTGCCATCTCTGCTCACTGCAACCTCTGCCTCCTGGGTTCAAGCAGTTCTCCTGTCTCAGCCTCCTGAGTAGCTGAGATTACAGGCACGTGCCACCACACCCGACTAATTTTTGTGTTTTTAGTGGAGACGGGTTTCGCCATGTTGGTTAGGCTGGCGTCGAACTCCTGACCTCGTGATCTGCCTGCCTTGGCCTCCCAAAGTGCTGGGATTACAGGCATGAGCCACTGCGCCCAGCCCTGGTGTCTTTTACTACAGACTTCACATGTGTACACCCCTTAATTAGCCATTAGGAAGTGCTGCGGCAAGTTCACTTTGCTTAGGAAAGCACTGTGCTTAAGAAAGCAGGCTGCTTTCAGTATCCTTTAGAATAGAATGGTTCCCACTGGAAGATGGTTAAATTAACAACATAGTTGTAAAGTGATGCAGGAATGAGCCTGCTATACAGTCAGAGGGAACAGTCTACAAAGGACCACTCTCACTGCTGATGCTAATTGCAAGCTGGGGGGTTTCCAGGATTACCCAGAGATTGGACAGTTTTCTAGAAGAACCCATGGAACTTGTGACAGCTGTTATCGCTGTGATTAGGGATTGCTACATGGAGAGAATACAGAGACACTCTGGCAAAGAGAAGAGCCCAGGAAAACCACCAGATGTGGAGCCCCTGTTGTCCCCCTCTCTGTGGAGTCATGGATGGTGCTGCTGTCCTATAACCACATGTGGCAGTTGCCAAAGAGAATTATCTATTGCCGAAGCTCAGCTGAGCCTTTAATGTCTAGAGTTTCCATTGGGGCTCAGTCATGTACTGCCTGCACAGCTGACCATTAGTCTCCAGCCTTCCACAGGTGAGGCTGACACTTTTATTCTCCAGCCCCTCTGGAGACAGCACTGACATCACAGGGCTCTAAGTTCCCGTCATAAATCACATTCAGACTGTCCTGGGGTCTAAGGCCCCAGAAACATAAACACACTTTTCTCAGGCAGGACATTCCAAGGTCCTAGATCACCTTCCAGCATTTGAGGGCAAAGCCAGACCTCTTATAAGGTTAACTCTAAACTCTACAGTGAC